GTTCTTTTCATTGACTCATCCTATGTTGTAAGTGTGTGTTAATTTCGAATTCACTTCTCAATAATTCTTTCTATACTTAATTTTCCTTCTTTTACTAGAGTTTAAGCGAGGATACGTCATATATAATATCTAAAACAGAATATAACGAATATTCAATTCGATATTCACTTTTTTTATTTATGTTTATATAAATTTTGCACACTATGTATTTAAATTGTTGTGTTGGCTTTTGATAAATTTATATACACCACTTTGACAAATTTATACCACAGTGGTTATAGCATGTACAATTTTTTTGAACCACCATATGTTGAGTGAATTTCTGTCATGCGCGAGTGACAATCATTTCACGGATATTGAGCTGTTTAACCTCCGGCGGACACTGTTTCTTATGCAGAAACTATAGCAATTGACTAACAAATAACTTTTTCGTTGTAATATCCAACCAATAAAATCTCTTTTTTAATATTCTTTTCAGATGAGTTTAGGAATGTGAAAATAAATTATCGATGATAAGATTATAAACTTACAATAAAGTGATAAAGTAGGAAATAGTAGAAAAGATAAATAAAGCCTGTGCAATGTCGAAGTATATATAAATAATTTAAGTAATATATGAAAAAGTATCGATAAATTACATATGAAATTGATATTAATTACTAGCAGTTCAATTGACCAATGATTAATTATTTATTTTGAGTGTTAAAAGCACTGTTGTTGGTGTTATATACAACAGGTTACATAGAAAATTAATACATAATTTTTTAAATTATTAAATATAATAATAATAATAAATTATTAATAATTATTATTAATTATTATTAATAATAATTAATAATAATAATAATTAATAATTATATTTAATGTAATTTAATGGGAGCGTCCCAGATGCGCACATTGTCAATCGGACACATCACTCATATCAGCCAATGCCTAGGAATTTTCTAGTCACCTATCAAAAATTTTTTTGTTTAATCGACCAATCGGCAATGTGTCCGATTGGACCTTACCCATTTAATGCTATTAAATATAATTATTTAAATTATTTGTTTTAAATTTTGTTTTAAATTTAAATTTCTTTTTTTACATTTATTTAAAATTTTTTTTTAAGTAATATATTCCATGCCAAATATCCTTCTGCCATTTTACCTTAAAAATAAGAGAAAATCTTACCTTTTTTCATAAAATTTTTTATGAAAAATATCTGATTTACATTACATATAATTCATAAGTAAAATATATAACCTATTTGTTTATTTATTTATTTTAATATCTTTAGATATTATAACATTGATAATATATTGCTTTTAATTAAAATATTTTATTGTAATATTACTTTTTGCGTGCTCTTCTTAATATTTAATATGTTTAAAATAAGTTTATGATGTTCATATATTTAAATTATAAAATTATACTATACTTGCACACTTTTGTACTACTATTCGGCCGCTTCGGAATGTTACTATTGATTGATATGTCTAATTATGTTGTCGTTATGGCTTATCGAAAGGTCCGATACCTTTCGATATCTTAACGACAGGATTCGGTACTTTATCGATACTTTTATCATTACGTTAAATTACAGAATACTATTTTTCGTTATAGTGTCATTAAATCTGCATAACGACATCCCTAGCTAGTGAAACTATCGTTAAGAAGTTAGAGAATAGGCCTCCAGTAGTGTCGGTCCACAATGAGTATTTAATCTTTAAACTGTAAGAAATTGACCAATCATAGTCGATTATTCTTTTCATATTCGATTATAATGATCAATTTCTTATTTCTTAAAGCTTAAATCATCTATTGTGGATCGACACGTTGGCTATTCTCTAATTTCTTAACAACAGTTTCACTAGTTAGGTATATCGTTATGCAGGTTTTTCCCCATATATTATACCTGCGCAACGACAACGTAACGATACAATACTGTCGTTAAGAAATTAGAGAATAAGCCTACAAAGCGTACAAGCTGAGGCTGGTATTAGAAATACTACAATCAGAGACTGGCCACAACTCTGACCCCCCAATCAGAGACTCTAATCCACCATATTTTGGCTAAATCCTAAGAGAAAGAAAGAAATATACACCATCTCACTCTAACCAATAACGTGTTTTGATTAGAGTGAAAGAAATATACATCATCTCACTCTACCAATAACGATTTTTTACTTTGCATGTGCATTGATTTAAGTGTATTGTGCATGTGTATTGAACACGTGGAAAGCGTGATAATATATTATTGAATAATAGAGATATTAAAATTGTAAAATATACTCATAAATTAATTAATTGTGATAAATCAATATAAAAAATGGGTGGATGTTCATTTTTTTACTTAAATTTTATTTTATATTGTAATAAAGTTTGTTTATAATAATAATAATAAATATGTATAAGGATTATTAGATGTGAAATAGTTTGAAATTAAAAAAGAGAAAACAATGACACACACATACACACATACGCGCGCGCGCACGCACACGCACACACATATATGTACTATTAAATCTTTTGTACTATTTCGTATGCAATGTATGTATATTATTGTATATTATAATATACAACATATAATTATTACCTCGATAGCAACAGTGATAGATTTTGAGCAAGGTCTACTATCTATGTTTGATGGCAGAAAGGTATCAAATTGTATGTAGAGTCTGTAATATCTGATCGTCGACTCGCGTAAAGTCACACGGTAGTGTTCTCGGTTGACTTGACACCTGAGACATTACCGTGTCTCCTGATGATGTCGGCAAATTGCCATCAAAAATATAACAAAACCTGACATAGCTGACATAGCATATCAACAGGCTTTGTCGACAAATCTTGAGCCTAATGCGGATCCAAATGGCTATGGACTTACATTCAATATCTGATCAAATTTGCTACCAGTCTGCCAGCAAATTGCTAGCATTTTGTTATCTGAGTATATATTACATCATAATATATATTATGTAATACGTAATGTGATTCTTTCTGGAAATTCGGAATAATTACGCGATTCTAATATACCTTCTTTCCTGTCTTTTCTCGTTTCCTCGAATTTTGTGTCATTCATAGGTATATTCTTTATTTCATATGTTTTTTTCTGAAAATGCAAATACGTTTACATACGTTACATACGTTTTAAATACGTGTTAATGCTTTTTTTATTTAAGTAGATTACTATTTCAATTCAACCAACGAAGTTGTCAATATCGCAAATACAAACAATATATTGAACAAATGCTAACAAATGCTATTGAATATTTTATACACTTCATATTCAGTCTAATATTAATGTAATACTTGATAAATATTCTTCATCAGAGTATTCTTTGTGCGATGAATCCTGCTTTTCTGCAGGTCATCCAATATTGAATCGTATTCTTCACGAGAAATAAAGACTTGTTTTTTCATTTCCTTTGGTCCATATTCTATGCATTAATAACATGTTATAATTAATTTTATATCATTTGTGAATCACTGCCAATATTATGCATTGCGTGTAGAAAAATCTAACCTGGTTTAATGAAAGAAAGAGATTTTTCGATTAGTTGACCATCAGATGAATGTTCGCTTTCTTTTGTGGAACATAATTGAAAAGTGCGCGTCCAAAATTTCCCTTCTTTTCTTTTTTTCCTTCTTGCTCTTCTAGACAATTTTAAAAATTATATTAGTATTCTGAATTATAACGAACAAAAACATTTCCTATAAATACTTTCATCCGTTGATGTATCGCCGTCAAATTTTCGTTTTTTAATTAATCTTTTTTGTTTGTCATCAGTTGTTGGAATAAATATATTTTCATCGTTTGATGTCAACAGTTCGCTCACGATTTTCTTGACTTTCTGCTTGTGCATTACTGTAAGTTTCTGAAATTAATTTTGGGATAAATATGAAGGTGTACAAAAAAGTTCTGAGCTTTTTTTTGTAAAATTCAATCTTTATTCAAAAACAAACAAAAAAATATTAATCAGCGAAATATTTTGTTTGCATCAATGACCTTTTGCCATCTTTCGGGTAGCTTGCAAATTCCTTGACGATCGAGAAGCTCACGGCTTCGAAGCGATAAAGTCATCAATGCATTTTCGTATTTCTTCAAATCTCACGAAATGTGTATCAGCCAAATAATGCTGCAGCGACCGG